TTCCACTGGCAGCTAGGATCCAGGACATGAACCAAATAAAAACTGAACAGAAAGACTGACAGAAAGACAAGCAATGATCTGGCACTGAATGCTCAGGCTGAACTGAATATAAACCAGAGGAAACAGGTGAGAGGAATAAATTATAATTGAGGCAGGGAGGGAAAAACGACAGGTGAAAGGAATGACTAATTAAGGAGGAGCAAACAGGCCAGATCATGACACTTGGTATACATTGATACCAGCTAGTGCTAAATAAAGTGAAAACCTGACTTTAATAACTTTTGTGCTTCCATAGTTGTAACAGTTCATTGTTTATTGAGTAGAAATAGTCAATAGTACTGAGAGTACTGAGTACATCACTGACACGAGACCCACTTTGAAGTTTGAGTTCAGTGTTAGTAGCTGGAAAGACTTTGAATTAAACCTTTTTTTTATAACAGTGCAAGTTTTTTTTTTTATCAGCATGAAACACTGGATGACAATATTTCATTTTCAACACAGCCAGAGCCATTTCCCTCTGGAGATAACTGTGACAGTTGGAGATTATTTGACTTTTCACTCACCATTAGTATTTTTCCTCCTTTTCTCTTCATGTAAGAAATTTGAAGTCTGTAATATGTGCATTTGACCAGAAGTTAACTTCACTGCGGGTGACAAGAGTCCATTTTGAAGGAGGAGGAGGACGGAACACACACATGAAACAAACATGAATGATGCTCCAGCTGCACCAGCACCTACCTCACGGATGGAGTCACTTTCTGGAATGGTTGCCATATTCCTCATGAGCAGAAGAATGTAGAAGCTTGACATACATTTGATGCTGACCTGTAGGCATTTACATTGATTTGTTTAGATTATTTTTGCATCTTTGCTCGCTCCATGTTTGCACGAGCAAAGTGCCACACAGGAACTCTGATGCAGATGTTCAGGAGGTGTGTGTTTTTGCCCCAAGGCAAGGCAGACTGCTCAGGGTAGATAAAAGTGAGCATGCACTCCTGCTGAGGCAGGCTTTATCTGCACACTCTCCTGTTGTGTGAGTTAGTCGTACCCAGGGTGATATTAATACTAGGCTAATGAGCCCCTTCCTGTAAGAATCCGGAAACAATTGGGCAGGGCAGAGCGTGCATGCTGATTCAGTCCCCCCCAGCCCCCCCCCCCCTCGCCTTGTGCCACAAGTCCCCTACGGCTTCTCGGGAATGCACAAACAAAAAAAGTCGGGCGCAGCTCCGATCACATTAATCATGGCCTGCGGGGAGCACCGACACTCGCTGGGGGCCAACAACAATGAAAGAATTGCATGAGAGGAAGATGTAAGAGGAGAAAATGAGCTGGCAGACAGAACCACGCTACTGTTATTGTGTTTTTCCTCGATTGACAATTGAGGATTGTTGATGGAGCGGTCAGAGGTGTTGGTTGTTATTTAAAACTTTCTACAGCAGAGCTTGGCAGTGTACTTGGACAAGAAGTAATTTTGGGTTGGGTATTTACACATTTCAATACCTGATATAAAAATAAGTAACACGTTATTCATATAAGTGTGTTTGTTGCTAGTTTGAACAGGTGAATATATTGATGGAGTGGAATGATTATTTCTGACCTCAAACTAAAGCCGAGCTTACACTGTACGATATTTTTGCCCTTCTTGGGCCGATTTTCCAGCCGTGAGAGAATTTTTCGATCGGGCCGACTTTCAGCCTAAACGTACGTCGTGTTGAGTACAGGGGGTACGATCTACACGACGTACGATCTACATGATGTATTCTGAGAAAAATGTGCCATATTTATAATATTGGAGTTTTCAAGTGGTCATGCTTTGCCTTTAGGTATCATTTTACATTCTTTTAACCATTTTCCTAAGCTATATTCCCTCACAAGCTCCCCCATCAATCATGTCTGTTTCTCACGTCAAACTGAGTGACGGATGCTCTCTCAGCTGCACATTAAAGCCATCACTGCTACTTCTGGTTCGTTTTCTTCTTTGGACAGATGAGCAGTGGTGCAGATGTGTTTTTGTTTGGGACATAAACACTTTGAATCAATAAGGAAACAAGCTGTTGTATTTTGCTCCACAATCACCAAGCTCTGTAAATGCAGAAATTGAGCTGCTGCACATGCTTCAGTATAGTGATTTCAGTTTTAATTTAAAACTAAAGCAGATTTATTGTGATTATTAAGTGTTGTACAGAACAGCCTCTCCAGCAGGAACAGAGATAATTGTGTTTAGGTTGAAGGGTTACGTTTTGAGTGAGTTTTGGGACCAAATTAAAAGCAGTAACCATCTGAACCATCCCAATGGATACACAGAGTCACTGGAGATGATGCCTCAACCTAGAAACACAATGAAAAACCAGGACCTTTTCAGCAACACATCCATAATATGACCAAAAGTCTGTATGCGCTTGCATCGACCCCACATGCTTACCGGTACTTTAAGGTTCAGTGAGAAGACAGAATGAACTCAGAACTATTTAAAAGTATGACGCATATTAAGAGGCTTCTGTTTACCAGCACATGATGATGTCCCATTCTTCATATCACGGCTTTAACACAAGTCAAATTTTTGCAAAAACGTAATACTATTTAATTTACTAATAGGAGTGTAGTACTGTATCAAGAGGTGGGATTATTTGAAAAGTAGCCAATCACAGGAGGTTTACTTTCTCAGGTTGGTTTCAGCCTCAAAGTGAACAAAAGTTGACATGATTACAGAGAAAATGGTCATGAATGTAATATGATGTAATTTCTTTTTTCCTTTTCTGAGTTACCTCAGTGGCTATGGAGAGCTGTTTCATTCAAAATTAATTAAATAAAAAAATATATGCTAAGAAGAAAAATGCTGCTATCATCCAACCATCCATCCACTTTCCGTCACGCTTATCCCAAGCGGGGTCGCGAGGGGTGCTGGTGCCTATCTCCAGCTGTCTATGGGCGAGAGGCGGGGTACACCCTGGACAGGTCGCCAGTCCATCGCAGGGCAACACAGAGACAACAACCATTCATGCACACACTCACACCTAAGGAGAATTTAGACAAGCCAGTTAGCCTAACCGTCATGTTTTTGGACTGTGGGTGGAAGCCGGAGTACCTGGAGAGAACCCACGCATGCTCAGGGCGAACATGCAAACTCCATGCAGAAAGACCCTGGGCCACGAATCAAAATTGGAATATGAAATAAATAAATGTCGCCATGAAGTACAACTAAAGGAACATTTAAGACCATTTATTTCATGATTTATTATTTTACTTCCAGATTTATTATTTCATTTTGTATGTAACGGCTCTCCATAAACGGCAGCTGCTTTCGGCCTTTGGCTTAGCAGAGGCGGAAAAGGGCGCAGAGCAATCCAGTGTGGAGACCTTGAAATTTGTTCATACCACTAATCTGGAATATGGAGGAAATTGAAATTGCTTATGTTAGTTTTAGTTTGTTTGACCTCTCTCTGTGTGTCATTATAGGCTGATCAGCTTTTCTTTCAGTTTCCCCTTTTGTCTCATTAAATTTGTCCATTTCTTACAATTTATCTGAGTTGAATTCTGTTATGTTAACCTCTTTCATGGACTCAAAAACTTGATTTCAAATAATATAGTCACCTTTCTTTGTTGGCTACATAAAAACAATTTTCAAACTCCTGTGGCTTTTAATCCTTCATGTTGCATCACAATTTATATAAAAAAATAATAACTCGGATGAGAGCATTTCTGGCTTTTCTAAAAAGAGGAGCCGTGCAGAAGGCTGGAAACCCTCTGCTCTGGAGCTGCATACCTCCACCTTCTCAGAGTCCAACAACTGTCACTCCTCAAATTAGCAATCAGAGCTGAATTTTAAACAGCTGTGACTGGAGAATAGATTTTAGCAACCAGATTTACTCATTTGGAGGTTATATGCTTGGCAGGATTCAGAACGTAGACAGAGAGAACTGACACAATATGGAAAGGTCAGGGTTGTTTGCGCTGATTTTAAACCCTCTCAGTTTAAACCCAGATGTTGTCGAAAAAAGTCAGCCTCCCAGACACCAAAGAACAACGCTAATAGGGCTTAGAGGAGCTGTAGGGAAGTTGAGGACAGGATTTGGGACGACTCTAAAAAGATTAACGCTGATAAATCTGTTTTCAAGCCAATGAGCGTTTTAGTGAGTCAGCATGTTTCTTGTCCTTTAAGTTGCGTGTGTGCTTGCAGCGTGCACATAATGTAGCGCTGTGTCATGTCAATAGGCTTAGCTGCATTACTCAAGTGAATAATAGATGCAATAATTTTTGTTTAAGCTGTAAAACATGCATCGCTCTGTGCGTGTGTGTGTGTGTGTGTACAGCCCCCTGCTCCAACCTGATGAAGACGTACAGCGTTGCTCCATCCGGCCGCATTGGTATTCCGTAGCAGTCTTCCCGGGAATCTTGCTTTAAAAGGAGCTGGGCACAATTATCTGTTAACATTACATGGCAGAATTAAGCCTGGGCCGGTATCCCCAGGGGAAATTAAGGATCCGCCAAATCATTAAATCACAAGCTAAACATTAACCGCCATTTGCATTTTTATTGCACCTGAAAAGAATGTGCCAGCTCCATTATCTGTGAGAGACAGAGAGGGACTCTTTATTTGTTATTGTAATGTCGTCCCATGTGGAGAGACAATGGTAGTTGAATACGGACAGGCACGGCCAACCAGGGACCTCAGTTTTGTGCTCTTGTGTTTTTTGGACAGTTATGATTAGAAATTTGAACACGGCTGGCAAAGGATCCTCTGACTTGTTTGTTATGCAAATCCTCCCCGGCTTTCATCTTTTCCCAAAAATAAATGCACTAAAAACAAATGACAATTTGCAGAGGAGGGCTCAGCAGAAAAAAAAGAAGTGTTGTCGGTTTGGCTGCTGACAGGTCCTTGTTTTCTGGAGCATCACTCCTGATAGGAGTTGTAAATAAAGAGGTTGGGGTGAAAACACAGCACAGAGTGGATGGTTTAAGTCATTCACTCAGTGCCAGTTCTCCTCTTCTCTGCTCTGCAGGTCAGCGGTATGTGTGGACATGCTACCAAGCGAGCCTCTCGCTCCGTAGAGACCCCTCCTCTCCATCAGCCTCCTGCTGCATCTGCTCCTGATGTTCAGCCCTCAGATTCTGATGAGACTCTGGCTGGCCTCCGCAGGTAAGGAAATCAGTCAGTTTCCCTTCCCATAGTATAATGCTGCCACTACCGTGGCCCACTCCATGCTCATCAGTGACATGTGGTGCTGGACTTACAAAACACCATTAAAAAAAAAGCACCTAACTAGAAAATCCATGTTTGCTGTGTCTACTAAGCAGCTTTTTGCAAACCTTAAAGGTGCATATCACTTGATATGCCTTGATATGCAATAACTAATAAACTGCCCTGATTTTGGACTACTACATTATGTTGGATAACATCAGTGTAAAGGCTAAAGGAATGAATATACCCTAAACCTAAAGAGTGAATGCCACACTTTTCAGATTTGAAATATTTTATGAATCCTTTAAACAGTAGCTACGTTTACATGCGCAAAATTTCCCCGATCCGATCCAAACCTTGGTTGATCGGAAATTCAAAATCTCCGTTTACATGGACACTAAATGAAATGATCCGATCATGACGTGTGTATACATCTACCAAGCGTTGGATCAGATTAAATCTTTTAAGCATGCGCAGAACTTCCTGCCAAACTTGGCAGTTCTGTCTGCGTCTGGTTTTTGGGAGGCCTGACAAACGATGCGCTCGGAGCGAGCGGAAAGAAAAAAGGAGAGAGGAGGAAAAAAGCGCTTGGCAGCGAAATGTCCGAGAGAAAATGTAGAGAATGAGCGATTGAACCGGCGTGGGAGAGCGAGTGGGCTGTGGAGAGAGAAAAGAGGAAGAGGAGGAGGATAAATTCCTGCTTCCTGCAGCTTTAAATTAACTTATAAGTCGGCGTTCCTAGACTCCCCCCGCCATGTTGTTCACAGCGAGAGCGACCGGTGGTTTCCTGTTGTTGACAAGGCGGAAAACGTCACGCTGACGTCGCACACATGCGCAGTGAAGATTATTTTACTCTTTAGATCCGAATGGGTGTTTACATAGACGCCAATCGGAATGGCGATCAGCAAAAACCACCTCTCTCATTCGGAATTAAATTTAGATCCGATCGGACCGAATCGGAAACATTTTTGATCTGATCAGGCCTTCAATCCGATTAGTTGTGTCCATGTAAACGTAGCTAATGTTTTATTTAGATGCACCAGTTGTGTTCAATCATTAAAACCTGTAATTGGAAATGAATTAAGTGAGTTAACTATTGAAGGTTTTACAGTCTCTCCCAAAAAAAAAACAACTAAAATATTGTACCTGACTCTCTGATCACCATCCTTTCTCTATCCACTTCAGACCTTAACTGAGTTGTGCAATAATTACCCAGCAGGGCTGCAGGCTTCAGAAAATAGGTAGATTAATGTCAATTAGGAACAGACACCCATTCTGGCCTCTTTTAGTTTCTCTTTCTGATGGGAGAGGATATTTTGCTTTCAGGCTTATTAAGCTGAAATTTCTATCTTTATCTCTGTTTTATTCTCTCCATTTCACCTCAGGGAGTTCATTACCAGCTTGAGAGGCTTCAGCTCCTTCTACAGTGGTCTCGGTGAGGCGTTGTGCAGCCGTGAGCCAGCTCCAGCGAACAACTCCCTCTGCTGGAACGGGCAGGAGATGACAGACAGGTAAAGAGGGGGTTTCGTTTTCTTGGATTAAGGCCATAAATTTCCATTTCTGCAGGAAAATTCATTTTGAAACGTATCAGTGCATTTTGATTTCACTCCTGCTGAAAGCCTGAATTACCCCCACCCCCACCACCACTCCTACAGCTGAGTGTAAATCTTGACTTTGGCTCTATGGGATGTTATAAACATCAGGCACACTGTCCCGCTCCTCTGCCGTAGTTAACTGCTGTGTCTGTTGTTCTCTCTCCTTCCTCCAGCATTCCTCCTGCAGAACCATGATTGCTTTCATCTGTTTCTCACTTGCTCCCTGTAGTTTAGCTCCACTTGCCCACTTTTTTCCATTAAGCTCGGGTGGTTACACATGACAGAAATGTGATTCCTCTCCAGTTGTTCTTTTAATTATTATTGTAACACATTTTTATAAAAGAGGCCCTGTGGGTTCTTATTTCTTCTCACCTTCTAAAGATGGATGGAGATTACACTCTGATTTGGGCTCAAACTGCTAAAGATTATTTTTTCTTTTTCATAAAGCTTGCATCAATCTGTGAAGGAGACATCGGTTTGGTAAGAGGGCAAAGCTCTCCTGAGGGAATGATTACAAGCTGGACCCAACAGTGCGATAGCGCGGTGCAGGGAGGCAGGAAAGGAGACAAAACGATGGAGAGATTACGATGTCCCCGCAGCAAGCAATTCTCCGTGTCACCTGTGAGGTTATCCGCCTTTAAAAATATGGCCAGGATACGTTTTCACTCTGGGAATCTATTGCAGGTCGTTGTTCATTATCTCCCTCTTTCTCTTAGGACCTTCTCTAAACGTTCACTGGGTGCATTTTCTCACGCTGATAAATTTAGATGAAGTGGGTGGGGAGGATAAGCTCCAGAGAGGTCGGCTGCTGAATGCCTCCGACATGCGAGGAGCGCCGTTTGGAGCTAAATGAGGCACTTTTTATCGGGCGTGTTTACCACCCCACCTGCAACTGAGATCAGAGGAACAGCACTTCGCACCACATCAAAGAGCATTACTCTGATAAGTGCGAGAGAGATTTTGATGCAGAATCAAGACAGAACGCTCCCTTCTAGAAAATCACAAGCTGGTGATAAAGTGATAAGAAACTCAGCCTCAGCATTGAACTCCTAATTATTGATGCTTGAGCATCCATGGAACAAGAACATTAAAACCTCATATTTCATTTAATCACTACAAAGAATCACTACAAAGAACAAAAAGGAAGTTAAAGGGACTCAAAACGGAAGGTTGTTACAGGGACTTTATTAGTTTTGGGGAAAAGAAGATCAACAGTTTTTTTTATGTTTCTTAAGTCAAATATTTTGTTTTATTTTATGAATCATGAAATAATGCATGAATTAAGATTTTAAAATTCTTGCTAATGCTACATAAAAAATATGATTTTCTCAAGCATTTTAAAATAGAATTCATTGTGAAGTACAAAGCAACGAAATTTACTCTCTGCATTTAACCCATCCCCTTGGGGAGCAGAGGGCTGCCATTGAGCGGCACCCGAGGAGCATTGTAGGGGTTAAGGGTCTTGCTCAGGGACCCAGGGTGGAGGCTATGGGGATTGAACCAGGTTCTTGCAACCTTCTCAGAGCACAAGCCCACTGCTCTAACCACTAGGCCAACACTCCCCTAACAAAAAAATATATAAAATATAAAATAGAATATTTGATTGTTTCTAATTTCTACCAATACATCCTATATAAAATGGCTGAATTACAATTTGGTATTTAAGATTTTGATCCTTTAACTTCTTGGAGTCTGAACTATTATGAAATTTTAACGCCTTTTATATCAACAATTATTATGACAAATCTAGAACTGTTTGTCTTTTCAGTGCTAGTTTTTGTGTATAGTAGAGAGCAAAGTTATCTGTATCAGCACCCATCTGTAATGTAATAAAAGATAAAAAAAAACAATAACTTATACGGTAGGTATAGAGGGCGATGTTTTATTTCTGGGTGGATCATCGCATTAAATGGTCCTCCTAGTTGTCAATCATTCTGGTGATATGTTGTAATGGGCTGTGTATCTGTTGCGAGCTATGGTTTCAGACAGTCATTAAAGCTCACCTTTCTCACCACGTTTCTTTGAAAATGGCCGATGGTCGTAAAATAAAAAGTGTCTAGGAAGTGTATGACACAGTACGCTTGTATGAGCTATGAGAACAGCAACTTTTAAACCGCGTGCATGAATGGGCTAATGCATGCAGGTACAGGGTTGTGCATGTGCATTTTGTGGAGAGGAAGGGTCTTTTTAAAAAAAATAGCAAAGTCCTCCATAATACTTTTAAAGGGAGGGTGTGCAAGATTTACCCCTCATCTAGTAAATTAATTGCAAATAACAGACAGGTGCCTCCTAGTCAAGGGTTTGAGGCCCACAAAGGAAGCCCTGGAGGGACATTCTGCTGTTTCTGAATGGGGGCATATCGCCCTCCTACTAAATTTACTAACGCATGCAAATTTCTCTAAAAACAGGCTAGTTTCATTGCTGGTATGAGTTTTGTCTCTGGAATACCTGAATGCTTCTTTTAGTATATTTATGTCTGATTTGATAGGAATTAATTTCTGGTATTACAGAACTGATGTTTTCAAAAATGTGCAAAAATCCCCCAAACTTAAAACTAGGAATACATTTGCAGCAAATAAAATATTCATGGTTTCATTTGAAAATAAAACATAAGAAAAGTATTATTAATGCATGACTAGTTTGATTTTGTACTAAGTAACTTTCAACTTCAGAGTTACAGTGAATCTGAAATCTGGTTTGTATTGAAGATAAATTGACTTAAGCAGCTGTTTTTTGGTAACATTGAATTTTCACATGCAGCTCTGCTGATAAATTATTTCATTTTGTATCTGGTTCAGCTGTTTGTTGGTAATCTGGTTTTATTTTGGTGCACTAATTTCTGGTCTTGTTTCTACTTCCTAGGATTCTCCTTTAATCAGCCTCTCCACTCCCTAACCTCCTTTGCTTCATACACTCAACACAACACTTTTGGTTTCATTCCCATTTTTTATTAGATCAAATCAAAGATTTAAAACTTCTTCCACATACACAATATAATCGTTTCCCTTAAATGTTGTTCACAAATTAGTCTAAATCTGTGATAGTGAACCCCTCTCCTTAGCTGAGATAATCCATCCCACTTCACAGGTGTGCCATATCAAGATGTTGATTAGACACCATGATTAGTGCATAGGTGTGAACACAATAAAAGGCCACTCTGAGAGGTACAGTTTTATCACACAGGTGGCATGCTGACAGCAGGAACGTCAACCAGAGCTGTTGCACATGTATTGAATGTTCATTTCTCTACCATTAGCCGTCCCCAAAGGAATTTCAGAGAATTTAACAGTACATCCAAGCAGCTGCTGAAACAGTCGCTTTACATGACCAAAGAATTTCTGCAGAAACTGTCAGAAATGTCTCAGGGAAGCTCATCTGCATGCTTTTCGCCCTTATCAGGGTCTCCACCTGACCCCAGTTCGTAGTAACCGATTTGAGTGAGCAAAAGCTCACATTAGCTGGCGTCTGGCACATTGGAGAGGTGTTCTCTTCATGGATGAATCCCGGTTTACACATTTCATGGCAGATGGCAGACTGTGTGTGTGGCCTTGTGTGGGCGAGCGGTTTTCTGATGTCAATCTTGTGGATGGAGTGGCCAATGTTGGCGGTGGGGTTATGGTACGAGCAGACGTCTGTTATGGATGCATTTTATTGATGGAATTTTTAATGCAGAGATACTGTGACGAGATCCTGAGGCCTATTGTTGTGCCATACATCCAAGAACATCACCTCATGTTGCAGTAGGATAATGCACGACCCCGTGTTGCAAGGATCTGTAAACAATTCTTGGTAGCTGAAAACGTCCCATTTCTTTAGGTTATTCGGTTTAATGAATATTGAGTATTAAAAGACAATATAAAGACAATTAAATAGACATATGCAGCCTGTGAAGCTGCATTTCACAGACTTCTGCACGGGTCTGATTTTTCAGAACTGTATCGCCCACACCTGTAGAGTTGAGAACCGAGACCCGACCCGTTACCCGCAATTATCCCCATTTAAAAGCCTCGTGGGACAGCATGGACCTGTAGATAATAACGTTTATAATAACAGAGACAGTAAAGAACAGTGCGTCACGCTCACATCCAGTGCGTGTGGCTTAAAAGCTGCAAAAGGCTGAAGTAAGAAGGTTTGCCTCGTTGCTTAAAGGAATACTGTTATGTGGATATTCTTGAATCAATTTATTTTTTAAGATGTAGAGTTGATAAATAAGAAAATATAAATAAGTTTCATCCATGCTGTAACTCCATGATACCTGCTTTTTGATTGGATACCTGTGGGTACCATTTGTACCATTTGTCTGTCATGCAACTCTGTTGTGTGCGTAGAGTTGAATGTGCGGTTAATTTGCTGCCATGCTTAGGGGGAGTTGTGGCTTAGTGGTTAGGGCATTCTGCTTGGATCCCAGAGGTTCTGAGTGCCATAGACTGCCACTCTGGGTCCCTGAGCAAGACCCTTAACCCCACACTGCTCCCCGGGCGCCGTACAATGGCAGCCCACTTCTCCCCAAAGAGATGGGCTAAATGCAGAGTTTAATTTCTCCAGGGTGAGATCAATAAAGTCCAATTATTATTATTATTACAATCCTGTTCAGATGTTTTTTGTTTGTTTTTTTGTAAGGGAGAGCTGCCTTTTTGTTTACCCCAGTTTTCTCCTGTTTATGTGTTTGTTAGGTAGCTTACTTTGTAGGCTTGTATATTTTGGTTTTACTTTAAGTTAGGTAAGTCCACTTTTCTTTTTCTTTTAGGTTTTTTTTGTTTATTTTGGCCTGAGCTCTTCCTCCAGCTTTTACCAAAAAGATGGCAGAATAAATCTCTTTAAATACCATTTGGATTCACTGTCTAAATTTATATTGGTCCCTTTTATTTCCTAGATCCAGCCAAGGGATGTAACACTTGTCTTTAATTTCGATTCAATACT